GGTACAGTTTTAAAATTAAACTTAGTATGAAAAGATCCGGCCCCTATTACGAAAATTGAGTTTCCCGTATTACGAAAAGTTCCGGGCCGAGGGTTCGAATGTTTTCTAAAAACACTGTATCTCACTTTAGCCTTACCTACCACTACTAATGCTCCAAGAAGCGGGCCACCCATCCAGGACTCTAAGAAAATGTCTTACACTTTAGCCTGGATACCTGCCAAAATCCGGTGATACGACACACCACCTACCACTATCTGGGATACGAACAGGCCCTGGAACATGGCAGCTAGGCGCTTTAGCGTTCATGTCGTCTCTTGCCCCGTAGTGGTCATCGTCACAGAAACTTCACTAGCTCGCACTGCCCTGCCGCTACCGTGCCAGGCTACCATTCCTCGCACCGCCCTACCAGCGTTCACTAATTCCTCGCTAAACCTCACTAATCTCCCAGCGAGCCCCCCCGCCATAATCGCGCAGCCCTGCCTCTAGCGAGGCTGACCTGAACCACTAACGAGGCTGACCTGAAACTCCTCGGCCCTGCCATCTATCTCCGGCTCAACTTCCTACCAAAAGCTCACACCCAAAACTCCCCACCCAAAACTACAAAAACTGCCCTTCTGCCTCGTCTGCTGCCGCCATCACTATCGGCACGGAATTCAGCAAGCAATCTAGCTGAAATTGACTTTTCGCCTCACCCGCTACAGTGCGATTGTGTTGTCTCAAAGATAGCGGCTGTCACTCAATCCGCTAGGTGAATATCCAGCCGGCAATTATCACCATCCACGTCCCGTTTTCTACATTACTAGTCGTCAGACTTCCTCACACCACACATACGAGCTCATTGCAGTAAAGTTCACCACATCAGTCGTTTTCTGAGATCGTGATATCATGGCAAAGAAGAAGAGCATATTCGACGGAATGAGCCACAACAACCATCGGCCTGGCGCTCCAGGCACCTCCAGAGACCACCTCCACACAGGCAAACCCGCAGGTAGGGCAGTGAAAGCACAGTCAAAGGAACATAGCAGACAAAGCTCGTCCGATGACTTCTTGACCTCGGGTGTCTACATCGATCACCGCAAGCACGATGACTTGGTGCTCCAACATTCGGCTCCAGGGAGGTCCAGAAGGAGAGCTACCCACCAGCCCCAAAAGAGGGGCTCGGAAAGCCACATCCAAGATACCCCAGGGCTGCCTATATTGCCCTTAACGAACCAGAACCTCCAGAACTTGATCAAAGGAAACGAAAACTCGCCCCGCACAGAAACTGGGAGGTCCCGTCTCAAGGAAAGACCATATGGATCTGTCGCGTTAGATATGGACCAATACGCCCGTGAACAATCCCAGCTTGCCAAAACCCTGGCACTAACCAATCCGTTCAATAGGGCTGATCAGGTGGACAGGTTGTCCTTGCCTCATGGCGACGATGACGATGAAGAACGTCTCTCGCTCAATTCATACGAGTTTGGTGCTTCCAACCCGTCGTCGGAACATTCGAGTGACTCTACCTCGTTGGACGACGTTTGCTTCCCCGATTATTACGACCAGAACGGTCCAGACAGCAAAGATAGCTACGAATGGCCCGACTTGAAGGTCTTAGAAGAGTATGTAAAGGAAGAGCTAGAGGAGTTTATGGAATCGAAGGATGAAGAACAAGTACATTTCAATGTGGACTTTCAAAAGAGAGCATCGCACAAGAATGAGAGTCCAGAAAACCTGCCAACATCTAGATACTTGGGACATGTTGAGAGCAATGAAGATACCCCATTGTTGAACAATTATCATGTTAATGAAGTTGATTCTTTGGATCTGATGAGCAATTCACTCAGAATCAGACCCACTCCAATCCAACCATGGGAAAAATCCAAGGAGCAGATCCCTACCATTTTGAGAAACCAGAACGGACCTAGCAACTTCCAAACAAAACAAGCAGGCAAGGCACCTAGGTATGATGGTAAACTCTGTAGGTTCACTTATTTCAGAGAGGACCTTAATACTACAATTCATTCACCAACTATAAGTGGTTTGATTGGGGAAGATGAATCAAGCGATGAACCCACAACTGTGGATAAGGCTTCCGATTTGCAAACTACTTCCCAGCATGATGATCAAGATGATGGAATTTATTCCAAGCTTCAAGAATTGTTTAGACCAATTCGCCCAACATCACTCTCTAAGTCACCCTCTAGTGCCAGTGTATCTAACGTTGCAAGTCATCATGAAAATCACAATTCTTCTGGTATCAATTTGAATGGTAACGCATTGGAAGTAAAACCACTCACGAAGGTCGTGAAGCAAGCATCTAAGGGAAATGAATCGCCTTACCCTGATGGAGCAGGCTCGGTTGCCGCTACCTCAGAGAAACCACCAAACTCTCCATATTGGTTGGATGTTTTAGATCCAACGGAGGAGGAAATGAAGGTTTTATCGAAAACATTCGGAATACATCCATTGACTACTGAAGATATCTTTTTGGGCGAAACCCGTGAGAAAGTTGAACTTTTCAAGTCATACTACTTTATTTGCTTTACTTCATTTGATGTCGTTTATGAAAGACGGAAACAAAGAGCCAAGGAACAAGAAAAGAAACTTAACAAACTCCAGGAAATGTATGAAAATGCTGGAACTGGCGACGGCAATGATGCCAATAGTATATTTGGATCTCCTGAACAAAAATCTAAGGTATGGGGCTTTTTCAGAAACTGGGTCAATAAGAAGTCCTCCGATACAAGGAAATCTACGAGCCACTCATATAATAAAGTTCCCACCAAGGGTTCAGGCTCTATGAAGTCCAGACAAAAGAAAATAAGAGAAGGTGAATTGCTGCCATTGAACATGTACATGATTGTTTTCAAAGATGCTGTGATTACCTTCCATTTTTCTGCCACTCCACATCCAATCAATGTTAGAAGACGTGCTCGTTTACTCAAAGATTATTTGACGGTCAGTTCTGATTGGATATGTTACGCATTAGTTGATGACATCACAGATTCTTTTGCACCTATGATTGAAAGTATTGAAGTCGAAGTCAATTCCATCGAGGATGCAATCTTGAAAATGCATTCAGGGGATTCGGATTCAGATGATGATTCGGATCTGGATTCGGATCTGGATTCAGACGTTGATTCCCACTATGGTCGCAATATCAACGCTAGAAGAAGAAAAAAGAGTAACGAGAATCAGAAAAATACAGGGGAAAACGTATTCTTCAGGCGTAAGAGAACGAAGTCCACTGTTGACCACAGAGTCGGTTCCAGATTCAAGAACTTTCCGATTCGCTCCTCATCTTCTAAGAGCAGCTCGAAGAGTAGTCGCAGTTCCAAGACTGAATCAAAGACGATTGGATGGAAAAGAAAGGGTGATATGCTTAGAAGAATTGGAGAGTGTCGTAAGAGAGTCATGTCAGTGTTAAGGTTATTGGGTTCCAAAGCCGATGTTATCAGAGGATTTAGCAAACGTTTCGGTGAAGCCATTAATGAGAGTCGTGATGGTACCAAGAGTGAGATTGGTATGTACTTGGGTGATATCCAAGATCATATTGTCACCATGGTTCAATCATTAAACCATTATGAGAAACTTCTTGCACGTTTCCATTCCAACTACCTAGCACAAATCAATATTGACATGACTAAGGTTAACAACGATACCAACGACGTTTTGGGTAAAATCACTATTTTAGGTACTATTGTTTTGCCTATCAACGTTGTGACTGGTTTATGGGGTATGAACTGTGTGGTTCCCGGACAAGAGTATGAAGGTCTTGCATGGTTCTGGTGTATTGTTGCCAGCATGATCATATTCAGCACAATTGGTTACAATTATGCCAAAAAGGTTACCGGTTTGTAATTCTCATGTATAGATTTAATATGAAGAGTATTTTTCCACAAACATATACGTGTACGTAGAAAGTGTTTAACTCGTTCCAATTTCAGATACTAAATAATTATGCCAACGACTTTTCATCGAAAGCAGATATCCTGGTTCACAAAGTGAATTCAATTACTGTTTGCTAACCATGAAAATGCCTAAAAGCAACTTCCTGGAGATACTTCCAAGTGGTTCTGGTCTCTTTCGAAAAAGTGTACCAAATTGAGCATAGTATCTTTAATCCAACTGCACTACAAAATTATATGATTTTCACGCTTGAGCTAGGAACCTGGTGAAATCAGCAATTGGCTCATATCGATGGGTGTGTAGATGAAATTACAACTACGATCAATTGGTGAAAGAGAACTTTTTGGCAAGATATCCTTAGAAAAATGCAAGAACAATTGTAGCAAATGAAACCAGAATTCATTAGGTTGAAGGAATATTACCACCTTCACCTGGTTTTTCTTTATAAAAAGATTTGACATACGTCTGTTTACGTTTTCAAATACTGCAGATGTACCGGATGTCTGAAGTGTGGATGTTTTCACTGGAATAAAGTTCTTGAAAAACTTTCATTTTGAACCTTTACCTATCCCTGAAATTACATTCTTTTCCGTAATTTTTTGAATCAGAAGAGGCATGTCGCTGTCGTATCAGCAAAATGTAGCATCGCTTCAAATTTATTATCATTAGAAACATTCTACGCTCGGCTGGATTTTCTGGGGTGGGACTCGCTTATGCACCAAGGAGAACCGTCTCAAACACAACTTGTTGCATGCCACCATGTGTAATCAACATAAAGATTATAGAGCTAAATACTATACTGTGACAATCTTTTGAAAGCAAGTGTGGAGACCAGGAGTAGGAAAAGAATGCTAATTGTAAATTCGACATAGGGTACCGCAATACTCTTGAGAAAAACACACAACCTCTTAGTCTTAAATATAAAGACTCAAGTACCTTGAAATTTAACTCAAGTTCTGTGTGTCGAAATTAACAAATGGCTAGCATAGGTGCTATGCACCTGGCCAAAATCCAAAACTAAAGCAAATATACAATGCATAACTCTGGCGAAATCAATTTTTCTCGGCTTTTCCCCGGGTCTGATTGAAAAGCAGTATTTGTATCATAAATATGGATAAGATGTATCAAATCTTAGGAGCTTCACTAGCCCATCTCGCCAAACCGCACACGATTTTACGGGCCCTCCGCTTCTAACCATGCCAGGGCTGTGGGGCCCTGTGCAGGAGACAAAATATCCCATGCAAACGAATATGACACGGTGAAATTAGCGATTCATTCCACCCTCCCAGAGAAAACTATCCCAATTCCACTGCCACCATGAGTATTCAAATGCTGATCATCTTCGGATTGCTTATCCTGCAAATGTCGCTTCTTGTGGTGCTTCTTCTGCCCTTGCCCCACATCGTCAGGGTCAGGCTTATCAAGATCAGTGACAGCTTGGAAAAGAATCCCAACTTCACCGTGGTGTTGGTATTTTCCATCATCCTCTTGGGTATGCAGTTCTTGGACTGCCTCAACAAGTTGAAGCGGTTCACGGACCACGGCGACGTGTGGAACCACGACCAGATGGCCAGCAAGTTCTATGCCCAGAGAAACCTCTACTTGACTGGAGCTGTGTTGTACTTGTACTTGGCCATCTACACGGTGGTTCGTACCGTCAAGAAGTTGGTGGCCAAGGAGTCTGAGTACAGGAAGCTTGCATCGGTGCCCCAGCCCTCGGAGGACGACGAAGGCGAGATTGCAAAGTACCAGCAGTTGATCAAGATGAAGGAGCAGGACATCGCCGTGTTCAAGAAACAAGTGCTGGGAATTCAAACTGCGTACGACGACTTGACTCCTGCCCCCCAGTCGGGGTCCAAGAAGCTGGACTAGTCGAATACTGATTCCAGACTACATGCATTTAGTAGATAGGAAATATGAAAACACAATAGGTACAAAATAGCGTGGAGTATACCCAGAGGGCACACGTAGGCGTAGTGACAGCACAGAAGGTGCTTGCACGAGGTAATGAGTACAACAGAAAGTACAAAAAGGTCCTCAGGTGAATATGAAATAATCTAAATTCTTGAAAATTCAGAACTTAAAACTGATCCAAAGTAAGTGAATAATTATGGAAATCGGCTGGCTAAAGTCATTGTAGACTCATTGCATCAGGACTAAATGGTCCTTTGTAGGTAGCTGGCCAAAATCAATGTAGACTCACTTCATAAGGACTAAATCTGGCCAATTACCGTTCTTCTAGACAGTATGGCCACTGTAGTTTCCACTGATCAAGTTTCTGACCACTGGGATCTCGCTACCTTCTCCGTCATAGATAACGGTGTTCTGGAGGTATGGGTCGTGGATCTGGAACTTGAGCTGCACCCCGGACTCATGTTCGGAAGCAATGCCCTGGGTGAGGAATCTAGCAATGAGTCTCTCCTCCACAGCACCCTCTCCCAATACAAGAGGGTTTGTGTATCTCCAGGTGATTCTATTTTTGTCCTTGTTAAAGGATCCAGTTGGCTTGGAAGAGGCAGAGGTGGTCTTGACGTCCAAATTCAACGCCACGGACACCAATAAGTTGCTTAAAACAACCCTGCCCTTGATGGATGGGTTCAACTTCAAGTTGATCATCAAACTAGCCTGGTGGGGCTCATACTTCCACACGTGTTGCACAAGCACAGGGACCTGGCTCTCATTCAACTTGGCCAAGTACTTCAACCCTCCCAAAGTCTTGGATAAAACCTGCGAAGCGTTGACCTCGAATTTATTTTCGGCTACTTGGTTCATGAAGGTGTTGTTAACAATGGTCTTTTCGAAACGGTTTGGAATATTGAGAATAATCGGTTGCGCTGGAGCCTCACCATCTTTGCTATTATAGTTGAAAGCAATTTCTCCGATGATCTGAGACTTGCTCAACTTACCATCCTTGAAAGTGACGTTGGCAACCTCGGCAACAGACGAGTTAAGACCAGAATGTTCTGCCTGTTTGTTGTCGAAATGCTTGAACACGTCGTTGCTCTTCAAAAGAGAGCTTCCAGTGTTTTGCGAGATCAAGGCACCTGGAGTGTTGTTCAAGTTCCCAAAGCCGTTGGATGGTTGAATGAACGATTCACGAGCACTTGGTAAATTGTGGAAAAGTTGCGATTGGACGTCCTTACGGTTTCTGGGTTGGGCTGGTTGTTGGACCTCCTCTTCGTGGTGGACCACTTTTCTGGATGGAGGTGGAGGTGGAGCACTCAGAGAGGCCTTGGCTGGAGAACTGTCGACGATTTGTGGTTCGGGAAGATCTGGGCCTGTCTGGAAGCCGTGGGCTTGTCTTGGGCTTGTTTCGATAGGAGCATTTTCGTCGCCAGCTTCAAAGCTGTACTTTCCAGAGCTGCTTTGTCTTGACCTTGGCAAGCCCAAACGAGGATCACCACGGGCCTGAACCTCAGGAGTAGCACTGTTCAAAGAGCCTAAGGCACCTTGATTTTGGTCCACGGAAGATGGAACCTTGGGGGGTCTGGAAGGAGGCTGGTGTTCTTCCTTGAATGGACTTGGTTCTTCAGTAGGAGCCAAATCGTGTCTTTGAAGCATCGATAACCTACGGCCATTCGCAGCTAACTCCTCTGGCCCTTCTTCGTCGGACGACGAATCGGATCTGTCGTATGGCACGACATTTGGAGACTCAAAGGTGGCTGATTCTGGTTGAATCTCAGCTCTCACTGGGGTTTGGGCTCTGATAGGTGCTTGAACAGGAGCAAGAGGTTGCGCTGGTGGTGGTGCTTGGACCTGGACAGGAGCTGGACTAGATTTGTTGGCAATTAACGGAGCACTAGATGATGAAAGTGGAGCCGAAGTTTGGCCAGAGCCAGCAGGGTTGGTATAGTATTTTGGAGATGGGAACGACTGAGGAGCAGAAGTGGCAGGCGTGGCGTCCCTGTTTGAGTTGACACCCGAAAATTCCGATTGTCTTGATTCAGGCTGGACTTGCTTGGAGGACTGTTGCTGAGAACGTCCTGACTGTGTGCCTTGTGGGGCACCATAAAGGTCCACAGACGAAGGTCTTCTGACAGAGTTGGTTCTTGAGATAGACGAAGTCCGGTTCAAGTCTTGACCAGGAGTAAACACGCTGGCAGCAGGCAACTGGCTGGAGGTTGTGGTATGGACAGACTCGGTTTCTGGAATTGTATCGGCAGAAAAGCCCTTCTTTTCGGCCTTTGACTTACGGCCAAAAATTGAACCAACCTTGGACTTGATCTTGGAGCTCCTCTTGGTGGAGGTAGAGCTGCTACCTCCCGAAATAACAGATTGGTTGTCAGGTTTATAGAAGCTGCTGAGACGCTTGTTTTGCTTGGAGTAGCTTTGCTGTTGCTTCTTTTGAAGATCCTGCTGCTGTCTGACAAATCCGTTCTCGTTGGAGGCCTTAAAGTTGGTGGATACAACATATTCTAAGTAGTGGTTCAACTCGTTGGACAACTTAAAGTTGTTCAAGAGATAATTCGTGGAGTTCACGTTGTTTTCTGAATCCTTGGTCAATCTAGTGCTGTGGAATTGGAAATAGTTCAACACGACGTCAAACAACAATTGGATCTCAAAGCCCTTGAAGTTCTCGAGGTTGGCAAACGATTGGGGTGCCTTGTAGTTCCATTCAATTTCAGCACTGGAGTCATGGTGGGCCAACTTGGTGCTGATTTCCTGAAGCTCCTGACTATTGATCAACAATTCTGACAATCTGACATCCTTATCAACCACATCTCTCAAAGGACCGAGTACGTCGAGCTTCAAGCTCTTGTACAAAATCTCGTTGTTGGCGTGTTCAACTTGGAGAGAGCTCAACAAGCAGTTCCAGATTCGAGGAAAGTTACCGTACTCTCCGAAATGATCCTCTGCAAAGAACAGGGCACCCTCATCGTGCAACTTCTGAAGAACTTGGTTGTGGCTTTTGAGGGCTGAAGTATAATGGGTGAACCAATTTATGAGTTTCTCATCAATCAATTTGGTGGTTGCGTCTAAACTGTTTGGCAAGATGTTGGCTGCCTGCTGGGGTGTTTTGGATGTCAAAATGGTGGTGGCGAATCCTGAGTCGCCTTGGGCAGTTTCCGACATGTTTGGTACGGAATGAGGCTGGGGTAATCCGACGAGTTGATGAGTTTTGGGGGTCAATTGATACCGTTCACTAGCTTATTTTTGATGTTACCCAGAAAGAATCTTTTGATGAGTCTGAAGGGTTGTTGATTAGATTGATGGAGACGGTGAGGCGGAGTGGAGCTGAGGATTCACGGCGTAGATGGCCTAATTGGCCGTATGTTCCGCTTTTTTCAGTGGGGAAATCACGTGGCCGGATGGGTAATCGATCGGAGGATCCGAGTCCTATCCGCAACTTCGTAAGATCGATTAGTGTGCTAATGGCTGTTTCGTGAGGAAACATCAATAGAATTACATAGTTGTGGTGTGAGTATTGTGTATAATCTCGTAAGAAGCAGGAGTTGGGTATTTGGAGTATGGAGGAGTACAATTTTTTTTATCCAATTTCTACTTCAAGGTATACTTGTAATATTTTGGTGTTTTTTAACCAAAATTAAAAAAGTACATGAGCTGTCTGAGTCTTGTCATACCTTCATGCAAACAAACGACGGATTGCTAAGTGGGTATCTTGTCTTCCTCTAACTACAGCGCTAGAAAATACCTTGATAGAGACAACTGATTCATGTATCAGGCCACATGACATGAAATGCGAATCGCAAATGATGTGAATACGAAAATATGAAAATTCCACCAGGAGGAAGGTGCTTTTGATTATGCTATACATCATAAAAACATATTGTATCTAAATTAGATTTAAACTCAAAACCGAAACAGCTTAATATTAAAGTAGAAGTAAAAACTTTTCAATACTCTGAACTATACTTAGAACATGGCAATAACGGCAAAGATAGCAGCAACAGAGCCAGCTAAAGCAGGCACGTTACTAGCACCTTGACCGGCTTGGGTAACCGAAGCGGTAGAGGAAGCAGCAGCAGAAGATGAAGCAGCAGAAGAGGCCTTAGCACCAGAGGAGGCAGCAGCAGAGGATTCGGCAGCAGCAGAGGACTCAGCAGCAGCAGAAGAAGCAGCAGCAGAGGATTCGGCAGCAGAGGATTCGGCAGCAGCAGAGGATTCAGCAGCAGAGGATTCGGCAGCAGAAGAAGGAGCAGGAGTAGTTTCTGGAGCAGAAGTAGATTCTTCAGCGGCGCTGGTAGTCTCTTCTGGCTGAGAAGAAGAGGTGGTAGCTGGGGCAGAAGTAGATTCTGGAGCATCAGAAGTTGTGGTAGCTTGAGCAGCAGCAGCCTTCGATAAGTCATCGGAAGCTGAACCAGGAATAAACCAGTATGGGGATGGTGCACCAGCGGACTGACATTGGGAAACGGCCAAACTGGTAGCGCCTTGAACATCATTACCCTTACATTTAGAAGCAATACACTCAGCAACGGGACCACCGAATTGTGGCATAACACACAAACACCCAGTGTCCCAGTATGGACATGGGGTGTTTCCAGTAGTTTCTCTTAAACAGGATTGGGCACATTCAGGTGTGTCAGCGTAAATTCTGTCAGCAAAACCATTGATGGAAGCAGTCTTTGGAACTTGAGGGTAGGTAGCATATGGATTGTCGGTGTCAGCAGCAAGAGCAGGAACAGCGAGGATAACAGCGGCAACGAATTGGTACTTCATTGTGGGAATAAACGATTGAATATGATTGATGAAAAAGATAACTCCTAGCGAATTTTTCCCCAATTTATAGACAACATCTAAAATGGTTCTTGAATTCGCTCGTAGGATTTGACCGCCAAAACCACTAGAACCGTCCGAGTATGGTCGGTGAAGTTCGCCTTATTGGGAAACGAAATTCCTCAAAGTAGCTATCCAAATATTGAAAAATCTTATAAAACTTATTAGTACAGGTCTCATTCAGCCAATCGTAATTGTTTACTGATCGGTATCGGTTTATGGCTTCCAAAATAAGAAAGTGAGGTGAATACCAGAAGCTTCGGCTGGAACTCTATACCTACCCGTTTCCCGAACTCACGGCACTTGCCTAATTAGAAAAACTAAATTAGGCAACTGAAACGGCTAGTGGTGGAAACATCGGTGATGCAGGGTTTTCGCTGTAGAGTCCAGATCGTTTAGATAACTCTCCAGTGCGACATTTTAATGCAACTCTATAATATTTTTTAGCAGCAAGAAAGTCTAAAAAAAAGGGAAGTTTATTGCGCGTTGTATGACATTGATCCGAATATCGGCTATATCCGCCCAACTTGTTGCATTTGGATGCAAAGGTCAATAGACCATAACCTCGGTACTTTATTCATTATGGGATTCAGAGTTGAATCTTCATGATGTGCATTATGAAGATAGTTCATTACAGTGCAATTTTGGTATTCACGAGGTTTTATTAAGCATACTATTAAATTAGAGATTTAGCCTATTTTGCAATTCGTCCTATCATTTTGAGTTAACTTAATTCTTCTAGAGAATTTCGTCAGCACTAAATGATACTAAAGGAAGAGTGAGAATAATGAGGAGATAAAAACTGCAAGGGCACTGGCAGCCAACAATCCCCCCGAATTCTTAGTAGAAGAGGAAGATCCGGAAGCAGTAGCAGAATTGCTTGAGGATGAAGACGAAGAGATTTTGGACGAGGAACCGCCGGAAGAGCTTGTTCTAGAGGAATCTTGGGTTGAAGATGCAACTCCAGAGCCACTCGAAGCACCAGAACCGCTTGCAGTTGTAGAAGCCGAAACACTGCCAGTAGTGGAAGCGTCAGCACTACCAGCTCTAGCGTTTCCAGCAGCAGATGAAAGCTCAGTCGAAATGGAACCAGGCATCATCCAAGTATTGGCACCCACACTTGAACACAAAGATGTAGCCAAGCTAGCAACGTCTGCAACATCAGAACCTTTACAATTCTGCGCAACACACTGAGCAACTAGACCAGACCATTGGGGCATAACACATAAACATCCAGTATCCCAATATGGGCATGGTGTATTCCCAGTACCAAACTTTACGCAATCTTGAGCACATGAAGGTATCTTAGAGAAGATTGGGTCGGCAAAACCATTGATCGAAGCAGTCTTTGGGACTTGTGGATAAGTCGCATAATTGATGGCAAGTGAAACCGATACGAAGTATGATAATAAGAGTATGAACTGCATGTCTGAAGTGATGTTAAATCTGAAAACGTTAGACCTGGAGGGTGGCAATGCCTAATTAAATATCAACTTCACCAAAAGGGACTGCAAAATTAACTAATGTCTAAAACAAATCCGGGCCGGTAATTCCGTCGGAAATCTTCCGAATTGTACAAATATGAAGGGTCCTATAATTCAATGAAAAAGTCTATTCTCTATTGTAGGCAGTCAATTTCGCAAGTTATTTTGCCAATGGTAGTAATGCGACATCGGATGCAAAGACAATATTTTTTCTTGAAAAATCATGTACGATGCGATGGTTGGGCTTCCCTGGTCTATCAATTATAGTTTAAAAAATCATCAGATTTCTACTAATAGTGAAGAATAGTGTATAGGTAGAATATTAGACTTTGATGACCATTAATTGGTGTGAAAGCTCGAGTTAATTCCAGCCAAGCAGTTGATATCCTTTTTTCCCTCTCACTCTACCCAAAATGGCAAGTGATATACATATTTATGCATATCGCTAAATGTGCGAGAATATTTTATCTAAAGCATCAGTTTTAACTGAGTGGTTTTGGATACAGCCAATAGTGCGTCTTTACTCATTCCTGGCTTATAACTGGCCTATTGCTTTCAGATGCTGCTCTTACAGGCTGCTTGAATGTCCGATATCTCCATGAACTCCCTAAGGAGGGCCTGCGCCAAGAATCAAGGGATGCTTATAGATAATCAGTAGTAATATATACTCTGGCTCTAAGCACGGTTTAAATTACATATTGATTGTTATCGACTAAGCAAATACTCGAAGATTAAATCGAATTTGACTGCTAACATGGTTTCACTGATTCCTTTCAATTTGCAGTACCATGTTGAAGTAAAACGAAACAACAAATATGAATGGCTAATGTTTGTCTTAACTGTGTTAGTTTTCGCTCTTCATGGTTTATTATTCCATTGGTTACCAGGATATTTCAGAAGTAAGCGAGATCCAGAAGGAGTTAAGTATCAGAAATTCTTCAAGTTTTTGAAAATTTGGGATAGTTGGACAAACTGCATTGGAATTAAAGTGCCCTTTAAGAAAAACATAGTTTATTTTCAACCAAGTCTTGTTCTTCTTGCCTTATTCCATAGCGCAGTACTGGGAGTCTTTTGCATTGTTCAAACTGTCGACTTGGATTATCAGCCAAGACAATATATTATTTGCAAAAGGATGCTGAAAGTTGCAGTTGGAAACCTACCAATGATTATGATCTTATTGATGAAGCATGATCTTGTGACAGCTATTTCAGGATTACAACATGATCGATTAGTATTCGTTCATAAGTGGCTTAGTAGATCAATGTGGGTTTTAATTACGACTCATTTTCTTTTGGCCATCAAATATTGGTTAGATTTGAATTTTCCAATTATGCTTGTTATTCCACCTCAAATATTTGGCCTGATATCTTATGTTTCCTTTGTGTTTCTCACTTGGGCAAGTAACAAATGGATCAGAAAGTGGTCATATGAGTTTTTTTTAATCCAACATCGAGTTTTTGGTTTTATCATGTTATTTCTTGCCTTCATCCATAACCCAGGGAATCGTGCTGCTGTTCTCATATCTGTACATTTACTTGTATTTGATAGGGTCCTTCTGAAAGTTCTAGGAGCCGTCCATCGTAGAATGTCTCCTACGAAAGGATTATGTGATTTTGAGATCTTGGACAATGATACTTTGCTAGTCACAATCCCGGTGAAGAAAACCAAGTTTGCAAAAAAAACATGGTATACAACTATCTTACCAAAGTTCAGCACCTGGGATGCCGGTCAGCACGTTTATCTTAATGTTGGAAAAATCAGTTTCTTTCAGTATCATCCTTTCACAATTTCCAATTTAGAGGAAGATGGGGAGATAAAGCTAGTAGTTAGGAAACAAAAAGGTTTCACTAAGAAGCTTTATAACAAGCTTATCAAGATGAAACAAGAGGAGATGAACAAAGGTACGAAAAATGAACTGGAGGAGCCTAACTCAATAGAACAATCGGAAGATTATGAGATGGATCATATCGAAGACGATCTCACAGCTAATTATACAACTGAAGGTAGCTCTAGTGACACATACGACGAAGAGCACAATATCTCTATTGAAGAGAGTCCCAGTCACAAAAACAAATTACAACTAAAGGCACAATTTATTGGTCCTTTTGGTGCAAAGCATCAACCATTTCTAGGCTTTGATCGTTGTTTATTTATAGGTGCGGGTTCTGGAGGTTCATTCACCTTTCCGGTGGCATTAAAGCTTGTACAAGATATAAAACAAAGGGATGAAGCAAACGACTTTTTATTCAGGCCAGCTAATCAATTTGTTCACTTAGTGTGGATAATAAGAAACAAGGAAAATGAGCAATGGTTTCAGCATATGATAGAGCCTTTGTATGATTTCATACAGGAAGGCAGAATCAAATTGACTATTTATATCACCCAGGAAGAACCAGAAATCACTCAAGAAAGAGGCAATAATGAGAAAACCAGAATATTTAAAGAATCTGTTGATTCTATTGAATTTCAAACATCTGTATACTCTAAGGAGAGGTTTGCCATTGAGAGACACTACGGTCGTCCAGATATTTCGAACTTAATTAATAGTCATGCGAATGTGCTCTCTGATTCAGTCAACACTAAATCATTATCTGTTTGTTCTTGTGGTCCCGAGTTATTGACAAACAGAATAAAAGTTGAATGTCAGAAAAGTCGTTGGGTGAAGGATGCTCCAGATATTTACTGTTACTCGGAGTCATTTTAAGGATTTAGGAAGTTTTAATTTTCAATAAATGGATAGGAAGGCTTAAAATATTAGTGTAATCAATTCTATAGAATTAGCTCGAACGAGAATTAGAGAATTTGTTAGGCAAGAAAAGCGCAAAACATCGAAACTTGTCCTTGGGGTTGATAGTTTTGAAACTGGTAGCTGCAATGCTTTTGAAGTATAAGCATTGTAAGTAAAATGGGAGTGTAATTCAAGACGAACTAATACTCTCGCCGCCGGATTTGAACTTAAACGGGATTTTGTCACAAGCAGAAAAAGCACCCGATACATTTAATTAGTCCATCATGAAAGATTCTACTCAGCCAAAATGTAACTATTATTAAAATTTTAAGGTTTTATTGTTTTCACCGAGAACCCACTAGCGCAAAAGAGAGGTAATTACTAAATCTGACTAACACAAGCAACAAGAAAAAAATCTTGATTTTTGTGAGCCAATTATTCTACAATTCATTACTCAAGGGAAGAAATGATGCACACCTACTTGAAATGAGGTTTGATCATTAGTTAATGAATGAAATAGACAGCAGTGCTAAAACATCTTCTGTCAAGATTTTGAAGAGCTGCAAACTTTGCAAAATCAAAGTAGAGTGCATGTAGTTTGGTAGACCTTACCAGTGGCAAAACCGAAATATCCTCAGATCTGTCACTGAGCTCAATCATAACATTCGTGGGCCATTTTCGTTCATACTCCCGATGATCAAGACGCCCCACTAATCTAACTGCGCTGTAACGAATGTGTACAGACTGTGCTCAGAATAACCTCACCTGATTAGCAGAATTACATGTTCATCTATAACAATTGTATTAAAATTTTGAACGTACGGTATACTACATTAAAGAACTGAATATTATCAACTAGGATGCTTCACTTTCTTGAGTGGTCACTGACTGTACCATCATCTGGACTCAAAGCTCCAGAGTCACTTGCGTTGACTCCATCAAATGTTTTTGGCTCATCAGTATCATGTTCCTTAGAGGTGGCACTTGCTTTCAACTTAGCAATTCTTGGTGCAGTTGATCTTACTGGCTCAATAACAAATGGACTTTGTTCTGGGTTGACCATCTCATCTTCTTCGAAGTATGCATGTTCACCAATTTGTGCCAAATCGGTACCCAAAATTTCTTCATCTTCGTGCAATCTAATTCTCAATTTAGGAATTCTGTCCATAATCAATAAGAGAATAGAAGTAAGAACAAACGACCACAAACCAACTGAACAACTACCAGCAAGCTGGTAACCCAACTGCTTGTAGTTGTGGTTCATCCACCCTCCAGCAATCTCAGTTGCAGGATCAGCAGCAACTGAACCATCAGAAGCAGTAACGTAGTTAGTGGCAAACAATCCAGTCAAGAAGGATCCACAGATACCTCCGATACCATGCAAAGCAAAGACATCCATACCGTCATCAATTTGTAAAATGTTTTTAAGATCAACAGCAAAGTTACAAAGAATAGCTGGAACAACACCGAAGACTACCGATGTGTAGACAGGAACGTAACCAGCAGCAGGAGTGATACCAACCAAGCCTGCAATTGCACCCATACACAAACCAACAGTCGACCACTTACCACCAGTTCTGAAATAGTCAACGAACATCCAGGTCAAACCTCCGGATGCGGCTGCAACATTGGAGTTGACACATGCGTACCAGGATCTGATACTAGCATTTCCGGTGGAACCTCCGTTGAAACCAAACCATCCAAACCAAAGGAAAACAGTTCCAAGGACAATTGAGGAGACAGAGTGTGGCTTATATTTTGGAACCTTGCCAGTTGCAACTGGATCGTGTCTCTTACCTAAGATAAGAGAATAAGCCAAGGCTGCGAAACCGGAGTTTTCGTGCACTGGACCACCACCAGCAAAGTCAAGAGCTCCCAACTTGAACAACCATCCGGTTGGGTTCCAAGTCCAGTATGCAATTGGACAGTAAACAACCGTCAACCAACAGAAGAGGAACACCATCATAGGTCCCAAACGAGCACGTTCACAACCTGCACCCACCATCAAAATAGCGGTGGTGGCTGCGAACATACCTTGATAGAAACAAAACAAAATATCAGGGATGGATGTGATAGCACTTGGAGCACCAAAGACCTTCATTAAAGCGAAATTGTCCAAGTTACCAAGGATTGGTGAGCCAGATGTGTGACTGAAAGTCAAGGAGTAACCCCAGAAGAACCACTGGAAACCGGTGAGGCAGGCTGCCATGATGGAGGCCCATAAAAGGGAAAGAGCGTGTTGCTTTCTTGAGAGACCCGAGTATAATAAACCCACTCCAGGAATCATAATCCACACTAACGCAGCTGAGGCACCAATCCATGCCATATCAGCCTTGTCAAATTGCTTGTTGAGGTCGACAACAAGAATGTCGCCCCCAGTACCTGTGCCAGTAAAATTAGTATCAGACATTGTTTACAGTACCAATAACCATCTTTTGTTTGGGCATGATAATTTATTTATACAGAGAACAAGATACATGTTAATCAAAGACATTTACGATATATATTATCGAGAACCAATCAGATGCGAGCTGCAAAACGGCAAACCCAATATTTTTCGAGATTTGCGATAAGCACCATGCAGGATATAGTGCCTCATTTCACCTTTCCCATACAGCTAAGAAAGATTTGATGGCTGGTGCTCATGTGTTACAAAGTAGAGCATGAATGCAGCACCCCTTTCGGGTCTATTCCAAGATAATTGACCTAGTTTCATGGGAGGATATCTCCTTGTATGAAAGTCATTCTCATTTACGATTTCGCGATAAGAAAAGCCGTTCGCGTGTGCCGACAAATGGATAGTAAAATCTCTTGTGTTGACTTTTGAGCCTATGAAATCTTCCCACAGGGTATTTCAAACAATAACTCGTTGCCTTGATCAAACAGTCAGAGGAGCTTAAGGCGTAGTACATGCACTTCCATGATCATAAGCATCGATCAGCAGACATTGTATAGGATTTACGCAGTGCCGATGTGCAGATAATGGATAACTGATCACCGCACTTTCCTCGTCTCAACGAGGGTGAATTGGGCCGCTACCGGAGATAATTTTAACATAAATCTAATCGGCCTAATCTGAAATTAAACATATTGATTGGTTGTTACTCCACATATACCCCAATCCCTGCCAAGACACCGTTGGGGAATAGTATCGGAGAGGACCACTAATATGCCCGGAAGAGCCGAGATAAGGCTAAATTAAGTTTAATGTAGAAGTATCAAACCCCATCTCATATTTGGACAAAGACGAGGATGTTTATGCTTCAGCTCTACTTACGAGCTGAATCCAGGCCGGCCTCTAACGATTTGGTATTGTCCATTGCATACTCACAATAGAGATTCTTTTTATTGGGACGCCCATCTTGCTTGAACTGGTGAGAAAAATCAGGTGCGGCTATTGTCCACCCAAAATCAGGGTCTGGAATCGTTTGCCTTCAATCCGAGCCAACAGATTAGAACCTGACAGTCATCCAAGAGATGTGTGAAAAGACATGAAGGGCCAATTCTGGGAGCCATGCAGTTCTAGAGAATGCCTAGTTGGGCACCAGTGTGTACTCACACCCAGTGAGATGACTCAGTTATAGACTAAGGAAAATTGAGTTTGCTAACTTCACTCCCTTCCAAAGCTACATATACTACCACACTTTCAGATCATAAAAAGCTGGTCACAGTTTGGACCTCCAGTGATGAAAATTCAGGACCTATGCTCTCAATTATTGACATAAAATTTACGCAAGAATCCATCCATGGCTGCTTAACCAAATAGAATAGAGTAGATGGATGAAGTCCATGAAGAAATCTGTACTTAATTATCAAACACTATGAGATATCCAAAGTAACTTTCCGTTTAGTAGTAAGGGATTTTTGACATACTGAACTTCTATCAAGGAGAGTCCATAGAACTTGAGAAGATGCAACGTCTGATCTTCCCATCTTAGGCCATTAAATCTGGCCACATTCATCACGCGTAGGGCTTTATTAATGCCAGCTGTACTGGTCTAGAGTTAAGGATGAATATTCTTCGCTAGATCCGGGATCTAGATCTATAATCCATAACCTATCTTGCTCTAGAGGAATACTGTGTTTGATTAGGGATCCTATTCTTGCCACAATAATGGCTATATTCTTGCGAAGGAGCAAACATCAATGAAGGGTTATTAGTACAGATATCGTCAGCTACTCTCTTTAATGGACTAATGAATTGTTCTTTTCTTGATTCCTCCAACTAAAGTTGATCGGTTTGGAGTCATTTTTACAATACTTGTAGCACTTCCATGGAATTGAGTAGAAATTGGTTAACCAACCAAAAAACTCGTTTACATAGCACTTAGCTGGCTCGAGTACCATGACAGTTATAATTAATCAGCTAGGCTCCTGAAGTTTCTATTCTCCTGATGATGTAGGCGGTCTTTCTTACAGGAATACTTGCCAATTAACTCTTGCATATACGGTTATTATGGAAGCATTTACCTAAATGAACATTCGACAGCTCAAAGTATTATCTGTATTCACAATTAATAATCTAACCTAGCACCACCATCTATAGACCCTATAATAGAATGGTTTTGTTGACAATAATTCTTTTTCTTCCGCAATCTCTTGTCTAAGAACATCCAAGTCTAATTCTCTTCTGCCCGTATCAATGTCAATATCCTTTGCTCTAATATACCAAGTCCAGTTCTTTGTCCAGACCTTATGACCTAGGTAAAATACAAGAACAATTGGAAAACTTAGATATGACTGAAAGAAATCAGAAGCATTAGGCTTGCCTTTCAAAGGAAATAAGGCAATCCAGAACTGTGCAATAAGAACCAAGATGTTAAGTAACACACCATAGATTGCTCCATATACTCCTACTTGAGTAGTGTAGGAGAGTTCCGAAGTGTCCCTTCCTTGAACGTATAAGGCCCTTCTGAATCTTATCAAACAAAAATTAATCGAAGCCCAAGTGAACAACGACGACAACCCCGAAATTGCCAATAACCAATCGAAAACGACTCCCGACTGCTTTGACGCAGTTAAAAAGCAAAGTAGACCGAACACATCTTGGACCAAAATTCCAACCAACGGACGACCTTGTTTGTCAATGTAACCCAAGATGGATGGAGCTTGACCAGAGGCAGCGAGAGCAGCTAAAGTTCTCGACGAACCAAACACAGCTGAATTGCCCACTGATATAACAGAAATCATAATAACCACATTAATGACAGATGGTAACCCTTTGATACCTGCATTCACCACTGAGATCACAAATGGCGATGCAGATGCATCAACAGACGAAGTTTTGAACAACCTCTTGTCGTTGTATGGCACCAAGAGTCCAACCAAGGTCAAAGAAACAATGTAGAATAAAGTGATTCTCCAAAAGACTTGTTTTGTAGCTTTTGGTAACGATTTCCTTGGATTTGCCGATTCTGCAGCAGCTAATCCAGCCAATTCAGTACCTCCAAATGCAAAAGCTGCATTAACAAAAACAGTACAAACACCTTTGAATCCATTAGCAAATGCTCCAGGATCATGCCAGTAGCGCCCCCCAATATACCCTCCTTTGGGGCCGCCACCACAAACAAGCACAATCCCTAGAATAATATATCCTAGGATAGTAACAACCTTAATTATTGCAAAGAAGAATTCTGCTTCTCCATAGCCCCGAACTCCAAAAAGATTAATTGCAACAACCAACACATAAAAGATCACCACCAACGCGGCAGAGTTAATTGTAGAATTCCAATATTTGATGGTAATAGCAGCTGCAATTAACTCTAAAGGCATCGTAACCAACCAGCCAATTGCGTAATTCCAAGCCATAGCAAAGCCCCAAGATGGATCAATGAATCTAGAATTATAGGTGAGAAATGAACCTGCAACGGGAAAAGTAACAGCCAATTCTCCCAAGGATTGAACAGTACAGTACATCATTGTGCCAGTGAGTAGGTATGCTATCAATAGACCAGCTGGGCCAGCAGTTCTCAATGATCCCCCAGAACCAACAAACAAACCAGTCCCAATGGCACCTCCAATTGAAATCATCTGAAGATGTCTACTCTTTAAAGATCTGGATAATGGTGATTTAGCAGTTAGGATTCCAATTTTCTCAGCTTCAGATAACTCCATATTTATACCGAGATCTTCGAAATCAGCTCGACGAAAAGAGTCCTTGAACCCAGCCCAGCCAGTGAGCTTAGGGGAAGGATCTGTTTCTTCGATAGCACTTATAATTATTCCACCATTCTTGTCGATAGATGAATGTTCACTATGATGTTCTTTGACAACCATCTTTGCCCAGACAATTACATGCAGACGATCTGATTTTTATATCAAATCAGGGACCAGGAGTGCATTTGAGAAAGCTAGTTTTATTGATAACGATAAGAGACGGAAAACTGTAGTTTTGCCAAGAAAAGAAATTTTGACAGATGTCAAATAATCAGGGTCTTCCTTTTGCCTTCCATTCGCAATCACCAGCGAATGGTGTTTGAAACAATCGACTAGGTTAGCGCATTCATAGCATGAAATGTCTATCAAAAGAGCTTAAGCCAGCATATCCTCTCAGCCAACTGTTTGGTAATTTCCACTTAATCCCTCAACATCCTATCCCCAAAGTGAGAAGAATTATACGCGCGATATTTTCGTAGAGTATTAAGTTTTGTGTGTGCTCAATCAACGGCATCCAGTCCTAAAAACAAATTGCCTGCAATCAATACCGCCCTTTCGCAGTTGTAATCTCACATTGCACCATTGATGAAGGTCAACTAGAAGAATTATGGATGATTTCTATTGGACAACAGCAAAACGGGATAAGATGACTTCTTTTGGGTGAGACGAAAATCATTCCGCATTAGGTGTACTATCTTATCGTATAATTTGAGCCACAGTGGTGTGAGCTGATATCGAATTCAGACTGGAGATTAATCAAAAAAAGATGCGCAAACCCGGAATCGAACCGGGGGCCCAACGATGGCAACGTTGGATTTTACCACTAAACCATTTGCGCAANNGAAACTCCGCGACGGGGAATTGAACCCCGGTCTACCACGCGACAAGCGGTAATTCTAGCCACTAAACTATCACGGATTTTTCTGTTTGTTCTGAGGAATAAATATAACTCACAAAATTATAGATGAGCTTATGTAATCAATATTTGGTACACCATAATCCATAAATAGTAGCATTTTAATGATGTGTTTTCCATTTTAAAAGGTACCTGATCATAGTATTCGAGCTCTGGCCAATTATTTGGCAACTATAGTGACATCTAGGGAGCAGATTATAAAATGCTTCCCTTTAGCAAAAAAGAAAAAAATTTACAAAACTCAGACAAAATCCGAACGTGTTCTGACTGTAATTTGTCTCATATGACATAAATTAGCGGCCTGTTCACGTACCAGGAGTTAAATTATCCTACAATATTAGTCTTGGACAGATAACTGACAACTCTTCTTTCAGTGAGGAGACATACCTCCTATTAGAAAAACATCCAGCCAGAACTTTAGTTCGGGAGAGCTTTGTAACAAACGGAGCACAGAGTAATATGCATGTGTAAGGATATATCAGCCTATAATTAGAATGGTTAGCAGGTTATTAGACCAATAGAATCATGCTCCAACAATTGTGCCACATTTCGCGATTATCTTGGTTGCGGAATTCTAATTATCATTTAGCCATATTATACGAGTGCACGTGATTGGAAGAATATGATGCAGATCTTTATAACTGGCGACTAATTCCAACCATCAATAATGTGAAGGAACAAATTAACATCCATTTGCCATGACTGGTCAAAAGAAACCCAATTTTATTGTGATTGTTGCTGATGACTTAGGTTTCACTGACTTAAGTGCCTTTGGAGGTGAAATTGATACACCAAACTTGAAACGTCTTGGAGACCATGGATACCGCTTTACCGACTTCCATACAGCTTCAGCATGCTCCCCTACAAGATCTATGTTACTCTCCGGCACTGATAATCACATTGCTGGATTGGGTCAAATGGCCGAGTTCTCCAGGGGGTTTCCCGAGCAATTTGGTGGGAAACCAGGTTACGAAGGATACTTGAATTACAGAGTAGCGGCACTCCCTGAAATTATGCATGATTCGGGCTACTATACGCTATTATCTGGAAAATGGCATTTAGGTTTAACTAAGGAATATTGGCCATCAGCCAGAGGATTTGAAAAGACCTTCACTCTATTACCCGGTGCTGGTAATCACTATAAGTATTTTCCTCTTGATGAGGTTACTGGTGAAACTGCTTCTTTCATGAAGCCTTTGTTTGAAGAAAACGGTGAAACTATTGATCCATTTTCCCTTCCAGAAGATTATTATAGTTCTGATTATTTCACCGACAGGTTTATCAACTATTTGAAAGATGACGATAGAAAAGAAAGACCTTTCTTTGGGTTGTTGACGTTTACTGCTCCTCATTGGCCATACCAAGCGCCCGAAGAAGTCATCAAGAAATATAAGGGAGTTTATGATGGAGGTCCGCAAGAGCTCAGGTCAAAAAGACTAGCCAATGCATTGAAGTTGGGAATTATTCCCGAGGGTGTGGTTCCTCACCAAGTTGAGACCCAAAGAGAGAAAGCATGGAAAGACTTATCGGACGAAGAAAAGGATATCGAAGCTAGGATCATGGAGACATATGCTGCAATGGTTGATGTTGTGGATCAAAATATAGGGAGACTTATCAATCACTTAGAAACTGCTGGTGAACTAGACAATACTTTCATTCTATTTATGTCTGACAATGGTGCTTGTGGAATGTTGATGGAGGCCTTGCCATTGAAGAATGAGAACTTTAGAAAGAATATAGAGAAGAACTATGATAATAGATTGGAAAACATCGGGAAAAAAGATTCTTTTGTGTGGTACTCTGATCAATGGGCACAGGCAGCATCTGCACCATCATATATGTATAAAATGTGGGCCAGTGAGGGTGGAATTCGTTGTCCTTTAATATTGCATTACCCAGATTTGATCAACAACGAAAAGAGAGGAAAAGTAAAAAGAGAGTTTACAACGGTTATGGATATTTTACCAACTATACTAGAGATTGCGGGCATTAACCACCCAGGGGAAGTCTTCCAAGGAAGAAAAGTGGTCAAAGTGAGAGGTCATTCTTGGTTAGGTTATCTCAAGGAAGAGCAGGAATCTGTTCACTCTGAAGATTCCGTTGTTGGATGGGAGTTATTTGCTCAACAAGCAGTCAGAAAAGGCAAATACAAAGCTTTATTCATTCCAGAGCCGTTAGGTCCAGAAAAATGGCAGTTGTTTGATCTCAGTACAGATCCTGGGGAAACACGCGACTTATCGGAGGAATTAAGCTGGAAGTTGGATGAGATGCTTAATCATTGGACTCAGTATGTTGCAGAAACTGGTTTGGTAGAATGTACTGGGCTATTCAAATACGAATATGACAAGAAAATATTATATGATTAATAGAATTCGAGATTATGCCTTACAATGGAATTCAGGACAATTAAATAGTTAAATTTCACCATAAAAGTGTAAGGGAGCTTGCACAAGAAGTTTCACGATGATATTGTAAATCATTAGTTCTCTAAAGAAAGGGGAAATTCAGAACCCCAGAGTAGAGAAAAATGTGTTAGGAACAGCTGTATATCGTGGTCACTAATTCTTCAGTATATCAAATCAAACGACTCTAATCTCCAGTTGGGAATATGTCACTGTGTCATGTGAAAATTTAGGAATTATAATATCCTGGTAGCGTAAAATCATTTTAAACTCTTACTACGATAATCGTGCTCTATATTGTTGTTCTAACCAGTCTCAGATGCACATAGATTGAACTAATTTAAATTACCAGTTGACCGTTGTCAATTTTGGTAGCCTTCGCAGTATTCCGATTTCAAATAATATTGAGATGTAGGGAAATGCTGGAAGATTAACCAATTCGCTGCGGTAGGTAATCACAGATTGAGGGAAAATGGCACCATAGCGGTACTTTTGAATTAAGCAAATTAGTAATGTGAAATTACCAATGGAGGGTAGTCAAAAGCAGTAGATGCAGAGATATCTTTGATAGTGGTGATTAGCCATAAGGTATTATCATATTCAAAGTCATCTCATTGATCTTAGGGTTATCGAGCCTGGTGCTGATAGGCTTTACATTCGTTGTTAGTAATCCGTAAGAGCACGCATATTGAGAGTGACTGAAGTGCCAATTTAGTATTGGAATAGCACACCGGCAAGAAGGTAACGATTATTTCTAAACCGGGATCTACTGAATCGAGAAACTCGATATTTGAAAGATGGAATGTGTCACAGTACAATACTGTTTATCAGAAGTGTTGGTGAATTCAATCTTCATTAAAGTTAAGTAACTAAACTAGATAGCCCATCAAAATCACTGGAGACAATTTTATTTTCTATAGTCTGCAAGAGAAAACACAATAGCCAATTTGGCGTCTCTATTATTAGAAGAGGCTTATCAATGGTATTTCCTATTTCAGAGATGAGAAGGTGCATGAAAAATTAGCCTAGGGGCGAGCCGCAAAAGTAATGGCTGCTTATCAAGATTATGGGATTAACAAACAGCTAGCATTTTCCCCACTGAAGTGGAATTCGTCGGAGTTAGCTTAATCTGCTCAAGCTATGAGAAGAATTGTAAAGGTTGAGAAATTTAAAAAAAAAGAAAAGAGCTTGGGATGTAGATTCTCAGTCAAGAAAGAGCCACCAAAAAAGGATGTTTTCAGAGTATGGTAGTAAGGATGTTTTCAGAGTATGGTAGTAAGGATGTTTTTCCAGAGTATGGTAGTAAGGATGTTT